CGGCAGAGTGAAGTAAAAGCAGCCAACAAGTGCTCAGCATATGTAGGAACTCCTTCAAGACTGTTGGAAAAGCATTCCAGGTGAAGCTGGTTGAGAGAATGTCAAGAGTGTGCAAAGCTGTCATCTATTTTTCTACTATAGTAAAAATTAAGAAAAACCCTTGAATGAGTAGGTGTGTCCAAACTTTTGACTGGTACTGTATATTCAATGTGTTACAATATAAATGACTATTTTTTCAATGTTATTGTTATTTTTAGTCTTAGTCACCAGTGGTTCTAGTTTCTGTGACCGCTGCCTTATTGCTGTAAGAGAGGAGAGGTTGAGAAGTTGCGGGGAGAGATGGTGAATGTATTGCAGTTCTGTTATAGCACATACACTTCAATAAAATAGTATTGTAGCCAGCATTGGAACCTGTATTGTCATTCTGAACCAATCAAATCAAATCAAATCAAATGTATTGGTCACATACACATGGTTAGCAGATGTTATTGCGAGTGTAGCGAAATGCTTGTGCTTCTAGTTCCGACAGTGCAGCAATATCTAGCAAGTAATATCTAACAGTTCCACAACAAAAACCTAATACACACAAATCTAAGTAAAGGAATGGAATAAGAATATATAAATATATGGATGAGCAATGTCTTAGCATAGGCTAAGATGCAATAGATAGTATAGAATACAGTATATACATATGAGATGGGTAATGCAATATATGTAAACATTATTAAAGTGGCATTATTAAAGTGACTAGTGTTCCATTTAGTAAAGTGGCCAGTGATTTTCAAGTCTGTATGTAGGCAGCAGCCTCTCTGTGCTAGTGATGGCTGTTTAACAGTTTGATGGCCTTTAGATAGAAGCTGTTTTTCAGTCTCTCGGTCCCAGCTTTGATGCACCTGTACTGACCTTGCCTTCTGGATGATATTGGGGTGAACAGGCAGTGGCTCTGATGGTAGTTGTCCTTGATTGTCTTTTTGGCCTTCCTGTGACATCGGGTGCTGTAGGTGTCCTGGAGGGCAGGTAGTTTGCTGATGGTGATGCATTGTGCAGACCGCACCACCCTCTGGAGAGCCCTGCGGTTGTGGGCAGTGCAGTTGCCGTACCAGGCGGTGATACAGCCCGACAGGATGCTCTCAATTGTGCATCTGTGAAAGTTTGTGAGGGTTTTAGGTTACAGACCAAATTTCTTCAGCCTCCTGAGGTTGAAGAGACGCTGTTGCACCTTCTTCACCACACTGTCTTTGTGGGTGGACCATTTCAAGGGGGAAGTCAGGCTCTCACACAATGCATTCTCAGATGAAGTCTCATACACCAGCCTGACACAAACATCTTTCAATACTTGCCTTTCTAAAATATGCCAGAAGACAAGTTTTCAGGGACGGTTGCCTCCTTTCCCGAGTTTATTTGCCTGTGGTAATGCTTTCCATATGAATTGGAGTATTTGAATTATGTTGTTATTGGTCATTTTCATTAGCTAGCTGAAATCCCTCCCTGCATTCTCCCAAGGAGATCAATGTGAATAATAAGGGGTTGGAGCTGCACAGTACTCACGTAAAGTAGAGAGCCATACTCTGCCAATCAGACTATAAAACCATTCCCCCTGATGGAACAGCATGGGGGAGAATACTGTGTGTGTCTGCGTGTGTGACAGTAAGATATGTTTATATATTATATGAATTGATAAAGAATCATAATTCAAGACTACTCTACTGTTCCATAGTGCCTCAAAGTTAAAGTTGTTTGCCTATAGAACACTGTTAAATGGAATCCATGCAGTATTTCTCAATCTGTAACTGTATTTTTTAAGTCATTAGTCTATGTAGCCTACTGTAGGCTACACTTTTGTGGTATAAATCTGATAAATATTTAGCAAGGACTATTATTCGTTGTTTGGTACAGATTTGAAACTTTAGATAAAACACTTCCAGCAATGTGCAGAGAGTATTAGTGACTACACTTGGCTTCGTCATCAAGGCAACTGTCTGTCTGTAAGCACAGGTTGCTGGTGGAACCCAGCTCAGCCGGTCGGACCTGCATGGCCTTCATTCCTCACTGAATGAAAGGCTTGTATGAACCTAAACCAAAACACTATATATAAAGAGCCGCGGCTCACCGAAGTCACACAGACACAGCATAGTCATGGACTGCTCAGAAGAAACCGCAACTCACGGTGAGATAACCTTTGAAAACGTATGCCTAGTATTTAGCTTACTATAGTAGGCCTATGAATTAACTTTGTCAGTTCAGGTGACAAGAAACTTATTTTCAAACTGCTGTAAAATATGAAGTAGGCTACTGCTTTCTGCTGGTGTGACATAGGCATACAGTGATGGTTGCAGACACTGCTCTTTATGCCCGTTTTGGACTGCGTGTGGTCACCTGAAGAAGTGATGACTCATAGTTTGGTCTCTCTGGTGGAGTGGTTCTTAACAGTTCAACAGTTCTTTGCCAAAATTGTGAAATGTTTAGGACCACTTGATCAGGCGGACAAATACTTCCAAGGCAATAGATGGAGTAGCCTGCACTTCTTTGAGGATCATGAATCATTGAGTAGCTTAGGCTGATAGGCTATAGTAAAGTGATGATATTCTTAATTAAATTGGGTGGATTAGGCTAATTTCACGCTATGTCTTTAGCATAGCCTAATATAAGATATCAGACATTTTTTGAAATCTGAAAGCAGTTGGTTACATTCACTTGTTATATTTTTTACAACATTGGTCTATATTTTTACACTAATGTTCGCCCTAACCTTGTTTTATTTGTGAGCATTTCTAGGTCTCTATCTCTCTCTTCCCTAATCCACTCTCTCTCTCTCTCTCTCTCTCTCTCTCTCTCTCTCTCTCTCTCTCTCTCTCTCTCTCTCTCTCTCTCTCTCTCTCTCTCTCTCTCTCTCTCTTTCTCTTTCTCTTTCTCTTTCTCTTTCTCTCTTTCTCTTTCTCTCTCTCGTGTGCCACCTTGTGTTATAATGTCAATATAGCCTCGTGGTGTCCCACTGTTCCTGAAGACAAAACAGTGCCTTGGGCATGGTCGCTGTCCGAGGTGCTGAAGGAAAGGGCCAATTGGATTCCAACCAGTTTTACAAATTTTTCCGGTGGATAAATATATTTTTTGTTTCAAAAGGAGAGTACAATGAATAGGCTATTGACCACAAAAAAATGTATTTTGTTTTGTTTTCAATAACTGATTTTCACAGATTGATGGACAAATATAACAGAATAAAATCTTACACCACTAGGAATAATGATGATGATCCCAATGGTTCTAAGGGAATAACATTTGCTTTGTTGTATGAATCATTCATTAAAGAGCCATCCACAGATTATTCTCTCGAGTCTCCATCCAAGACGCCGCTTTATTTCCTTTGATCTCAGCAGTGTGCCAACAACATTAACAATATTTGCTAAACGGTTCTCATGAAGCCCTGTGCACTGCGAAGGTTTGCAAGTTGGGTAAGATATTGAGCAGTATTGGGTAGTAGTCCCACCTGGGTGGCGGTCGGACATGGTAAATCATGTTTACTACGGAGAATAGGCCAATTATCGGTCTTCTGAAGATCCAGTGAATCCTTTAAAAATAAGTATTAGCTGTGGTTGTGTCCGTGCGTAATAGTGTGTGTTTGGGTGAGCGTCTGTTTATTGTGGGGGTGGGCAAGGTGCATAACTGGGCCTTAGAAAGGGTCACATATAGAGTTTATTATGGGTATCCCACAACACTAATAAGACAACCATCATTTAAGACACCTTGATATCCCTCAGGTTAATCTTGCTTCTAAAGAGGTGTTTATGTCAATGAGCCACACCTGAATAAATAAAGGTTGAATAATATAGCCTACCCAATTCCTACACATTGTGCATCGAATTGTATTCTGCTCTCGCATAATGATGAGATGAAATATAATCTAAAATCATACTTGAAAACATTCACACTCACCAAACTATATAAATGCTTTAAAGAGATGACATATTCAAAGGGTGCCGGGTACCAATGAGTTCATTATCGCGGTTATGACTGGCTGCTTATAAACGAAGTCCTCGGTCTGTGTACAGCAGATAATATTGTTATTAAGAGAACAGCCCTAATGTCATGTGTTCAGCTTACAAAGCACACAAAATAGACATTATATACTTAATTAAAATTGCAGTTCAAACAGCTCTGTATTTGAAAATACTTTGAAAATAATAAATGATGATGTCTTTAAAAGCTCAAATGATATCTGGAACTGGAAAGCAGCTAAGCCATCTATTAGCCTCGTAATGAATAGCCCCAACTCTACTAAGCCATACACAGACGTGAGCGCAAGAGCTGACTGCGTGCAGTGCACTGACAAATGCAGGGTTTTCTCTACAAAATAATTGAATTCCAGAAAACAAGACGATCCAACTAAGTTAAATGGGTCATGGCACAAGTTCCACCAAAGATCTCAAACCGGGTCATTGGGAAGCTGTCGGATTCCGCTGTTCTCTAGTGGGTGTTTGCGTTGATAAATGAATGTTGGAGCCTCCAGCAAGTCGGCAGGAAGCGCAGCAAGGAGGAATTGCACGATTGGGTGAGTGAGTGAGCGAGAGAGTAGGAGAGAGGGAAAGGGAGTGTGGGGCTGCAAAAGGTAGTCCTCCTTAGGCGCATGTGATTTCGTTCCGAGACCTGCGAGCTGAAAGACCAGGCGTGAGGAGTTCAATGATGGGTAAAAAAATACTATACCTGTGGATATAAATGTTTGTATTACGGATGGATTGTATCGGTTTATTGTCTTGCTGGACTGTTGGCCATGCACGGGAGAGATCTTTTTGCGCACACGCCGCAATTGTAGGGCATTGAGTGGAGTGGTCATGGAGAGACAGTGAGCTCTCTCTGAGTCATTGTTGAATGTCCGGAATACCTTTGGATTGAAACCATGCAATGGTTTGGGGTCTCTGAAAATATCGCCTGAAATTGAAACAAATGTACAAATGTAGATGTCAATTCGGTAACCTACGGCGTGGAATATTACGCACATTTCCCTCATGGCTTTACCAAACTCCTCGGGCTCCTCTGGAGCTGACAAGCCCAACCCCAGTCTCATAGATCTGGGTACATTCTTCGTGGACTCTGATATCATATTTGGATTTACCAGTCATCTTCTAAGGAGAAAAGCAAAGGTGAGTGAGTGCACGCTACACTAAATAGCTGAAACATAAGCTACTCAAACAAAAAATGTAGCCAAATCCACTCCCCCAACTACCTTGAAAAATATAACGTTAATAAATAAAAAAGTTGATACACAAAGTGATCAGTAAAGCTACAGACCTGGATTTCCAGGTAGCCTAAACTACAAAGTAAATAGTCTCCGAGTCGGACCCAGGCCATGTCAACCTCACGTCCGCTATTTCAGGACCATGAACAGCTCCCTTGACTGTCCGCTGCGCCTTATCAACTTTGCCAACTTCATAGCGTGATCACTGACTTGGATTTCTCTTCTTCAAAACCATTTCAAAAAGTTTGACCCAAGTAGAGAGTAGCAGGGTGGATGGGGCTTTGTGGTCCCAAACATTCATTGCTCTAATAGACAACAAGGCTGCTGTAATCTCTGCGCTCATTCGATATTATTAAAGGCGCTGAGCAGTTATAGCCAAAACATAACACTCGTAATCAATACAAGCGCACGCAAGGGTCAGTAAAGACCACAATGACAGACTTGATTTCCCTCTCACTGTCAAACATTTAATTTGATGATATGATAGAGTGATTCATTTCTAAATGCAATGAGAGTCACAAAAAACTAAAGTGGGAAAGAAATGGAATAGCCTACCCTGATTCCTGATTCCCTAAAGACTGTGTTATTATCAATGATATTAGGCTACCTATTTTTTTAATTATGACTCCGGCTCATCTGTCATCTATTGTGTCTGTGGTCTGATGACCATGGCCGTAGTTTCAGATAAAATCAGAATTTTCTTATTTATGATATATTATTCTGAGAATTTTTTATTCGCTTTTTGTGGTGAATAGCTTATGTTATGTTTCATGTGTAATTACAAAATAAACGTTTGGCAGTATTAAATTGGCCTCCTTCTGTTAACCCCATAAGGATGCCTATAATTTGCAACCAGTTGCGCTGTCAAGCGTAAACCTACTCAACCTAGTCGACGACACAGACAGACAGACAAAAGGCTGCAACTGGGTCATGTGAGGGTAGAAGGGATCTTCAAAACGAAGTACGAGGCCGTCGTCGCTTACATCATCAACCTCAAATATTTAAAGTTTGGTAATTAAATATTTAAGTTGTACCCCTTATTTTGCGAAAACCATCCTGCAACCTTTGTATTTACCAGAGGATGGCGCCAAAGTAGCAAGAACGGGATGCATTGGCTGTAAAGCTCAGTAGGCTCTGTACTCTACCCATTATCTTGTAAGTGAAGCGATGTCTGCAACTCTGTCTGCTCGCGTGAGTGACAACATGAATGAATAAAACCATTGAATACAATAATCTAAAATCTAAATCACTATATTTCAAATACTATTACAACATTGATAAAATCTGCCAATACAATCGGCAATTTCAGCTTTATAAATAGCTAGCCTAATAACCTATAAACCTAATACAACTCACACGTTGAATTACCCTGTCTGATCCATGTACATAAGGTTATGATTTTAAGTGATTTACTATTGCAGTGTTCAATGATGCGCCAAAAAGTTTCGCAAAAGTTTTCCCCACCCATTTAAAAGAGTGTGTGCACTTAGTACCAAAACTTCTCTCGGATTGTCCCATCAAGGGACGGATCCAGTGCAGGACACAACAATGGTTAGCCTATAGTCTGTCTACTCTCTGACAGATTTAGAAGTGACACTTCAATTTACAACTACAACTACACTTCAATTTACACTTAATTTTTTTAAAAATAAGTGAGTGTATGTGAGAACCACGTCTACTAGGGATACCCAGACCCGGGAGAATGAACTCATTTTGGGGAAATGCAACTCATGGACGGGACCCTGACAACCGCATATTTATTGTAAGTGTTTTATGCATTAAGTTAAAATGATCAGTTCCGATTTGCAATAAAACCTGTCGCTGTCGCAGCACAACCTTTTGTTTTGGAACCCTTTTAGCCTACCTCTTCAGATTGGTAGTGCTCATGTCTGCCTATTCATATTGACATTCATGCAGGTTGTCAGTCAACCAACAACTCCAGACAAGTAGGCTTCCACACCTGCGCTTGTGCGTCTCGCCAATGTATTTTTCTATCTATGAATAAATACATTTATTTTAACTGAGTTGCTTTTCTCTCATGGCGAAGGTGGAAGGTTGTCCTAGCGGAGAGTCGCCGTTCCCTGTTGATCTGAATCACAGGAAAATACTTCACTTGGCGGAGGACGCGCGGTGTAGCAGCCGGCCACCCCCGGAGGGCGCAGGGTCGGTGACCGTCTCAGAGTCGGAGAGAAGGGATGGAAAAGGAAGCTTTTGCCAACAATGTCAAATGAATGTGACAGAGCTGAAGAGGCAAGCGCTGGCCTTGACAGACCCAAGTTCACTAAAGGTTTGTGAAGCAATTTCTTACTTTAATATGAGTCTCAAGTACCAATAATGCAAAGTAATAATTTTCATCAACTTTACACCAAGGCTACATAGTTGATCAACTTAAATTTACACCACCATGACTCTGCTGATAGTGTTGTTGGTTGATATTACAATGGCATGGTAATAACAATGGTAATAACCTCCTTCCCCCACTCACTTGAAATGAGTCCAGTGAGGTGGCTCTTACATTTATTATGAGGCAGGTGGTAATGGGAGATGCATGTGTGTTTGTTGACCTCGTGCTCTGTTGGCAAAACAGGGACAGGCTGCCTTGGTTCCACTCATGTACAGCAGGTGATATAGGGGTACACAGATGGCACGCTAAGAATAATTATTTTTGCCACCCTCCTCCCAGTGTAGCTAGCAGTGAAGGCATACAGTGTGATTCTGACAAAGTCAGGGTCATGACCCGTGCCCCAGCTTTGCTCTGTGGCCCTCATCACTGATGGGCACTTCTCTAATGATAATAGGTTTGAGCCCACTGCCTACATGCCTATGCCATAGCCTAGACTCTTACAATGGGTACACAAAGGCAGGGTGAGACATGGCTGTAAAACTCCTTGTGAGCTCTGTATTCCCAGCATGTAGGAGCCGTGGCTATAACTCCCCATACAAACACACCTTATTATAGAGCTGCAGTTGTCCTCTGGCTGGGTGCAGAAGTAATACATGTCAAGTCCTTCTCCTCTGTGGACACTGGAGTCATGAGAGGCTGTGGGGTAATGACTCTGATTATAATGTCCCAGTCTTCCTGTGAAGTCTTTTATTTCTCTGCTCACAGCCGCACGCTGTTTATGGATGTGAAAACTCAGCGTCTGAGACTGAAAGGTCTCTGGAAGTGGCCCATTGTCTTGCTAAACAATGCTTCTGTCTTTATTTTGCTGTTGGGGAGAGTAGGGGGGAGGGGGGAATAAGCGAGCTGCTAGCGGCGGAGTCTGAGGAGGAAGTCAAGTCCCAGTTGACCTTCACAATGCATTGAAAGTGTTCCTGTATGGCTCGCCCCACAATTCCCACCGCTGTTAAATTTAGGCCCTCAGACTTTTTCTTGTTGTCGCTGCTGCGTGAGTTTCCCCAGAGTTTCTTCTCCTTTGTTGTCGTGTTGGAGGGACTGTCTCTGAACCCCCTCAGCAGCTTATTCTTATGGGAAAAGGGAGATGAGATAAAGCATGGGGGGAAACTTTTTGGAGGAATTGAACTTCATCACTCAAGTGTTCTTCTGTATGTGTGGTCTAGTCTCTCTGTGGGGGTGGTCTAAATCATATCAGATCTCTATGTATTCAAGCGTCCGGTAAGCCCCCCCAACAGATGTACACTATCCCACCTGCCAGTCCTTCTCCATGGGAACTGAACCCTCCCCTCTTGGTTACCTGTGTGGTCCTCTCCAGGTGTGGAGGGGTTGAAGGGTGGGATGGGGGCTGCCCCTTTCTTCTCCCATTATGCACATGTTGATGGCTAAATTTGGCCCTAATTCTAAGGTGGTAAACAGCCAAGGCAGGGTGCTCTTATTGTGCTCCCCTCATAGTATGGATTTCTCCAGCTGCAGGAGAAAGGGCTCCATTGTCCCGTTGGGCCTGTGCTGCCCACCTGGAAGGTCTAGCTGGATGTGGTCGTAGATGGATGGCTTTCACAGATTTCCTTTGGTGGAAGAGGGCCATGTGATGTGTGGTGGAAAGATGACTGTTGTGGGATGTTTGAGCTCCTGGCATCAGAGCTACAGAGTTCTGCTGTACCTGTCATGGTGGATGGGGGCCATCTGAGTTTACCATGGGAAAGTGAGAGAGGAGGCTGTTTATGTGAGAGCTTTCCCTATATCCTCCTGCTGTCCTGTTTTTTGTGATGAGGAAGTCAGCCTGCCTCCCTAGACAACCCCCCCTCCACTTCCAGTAGACTTATTGTTTGAGTACAGTAGCAGTAGCGGCCAAAAGATATTTTCAAGGAAGACAATTTCGGTTGAATGAGTGTACTATGCCGAAGCCCGGGTTTACAGGGAAATGCACAGACAGTGAACTGCCTCAGAGGTGGCTTTCGTGTTATCCTGTTCGTTCTTCAAAGAACCCTCTCAGGTCAGTCTAATGTTGTTATGACTCATTGGGGAACTTGAAGAGCTCCTGTTCCTGCTAGTGTCTCTACGCTCTGGGCCACTGGCTCAGTGTCAACCTGAAGGAGCTCAGAGTAGCAGCAGCCAGCATACAGTACAGCTGGACTGGGAGGGAGACGGTTGCTGCATTGCTGTGAGGTGTTGTCAAGGGAAATGCAGGGTCAGCATTAGAACAATGAAGGTGACAGATTATTTCTTTATGGTCTGCTGCAGCCTGCACATCCAGTGGCAGCAATTTTTCTTTTTCCACGCTCTCTGCCATTAAGTGCCTGTTTCATTTACAGAGGAGCAGTTCCTGTGTTCCCCACATCTTTTGTTTTAATATTTATAGCTGGCATGTGCTTTGTCTGACATAACCCATACCACTTCACCTCACTTAATGCTCTTAAGTAAAATACAGTGACTTGGACACACATTAACCAGACATTGTTAGACAGCAGAGCATTAAAGAAGCCCTGGTAAAATGGCCTTTGCTTAAAGGACAGATACCGAAGAGGCAGATGAAATGGAGACACTCTGAGGTTCTGCAGACTTGATTCGCACCCTTAATCAAAGGCATTCACCCGGTTAATGTACAGTATTTGATTTATATCATTAAAAACTAACAAACAACTTCAATGGTAAACGGCAGACAGTCTGGATGGCTGCAGCAGAAATTACACGCTATATTTCAGGTGGCTGGACATGAAGGCAAGGTGAGGTATAATACGGGGAAAGATCATCTCTTGAAGGCTAACCTCAGGTTCAAAGCACTAATTACCCCTCAACCATAATCAGAGGATCTGTCAACATTCAACATGCCTATAGAAAGACCATACTTGTACACCTGGCTCAGATCCACCTGCATTTAATGAACGATACCCCCTTCATCCACCCCTTTAGATGGTTTCTGCCCTGAAAGGGTTACTCAATATTTTGGCCGTGGTGTGATGGATTGGGAGGAGGACGTTTTTTTTGTCTGCACTGTCAGCCATCTCATGAAAAGGTAAGAGGGCTGTCAGTGACAACAATGGGCCGTTGGGTTTCTATAGGGCCTAAAGCCTGGCGGTATTGTGACACACAAGGTCTTTAATTCCTCAGCCATGGCCAGGAAGCAGCTTGTAAAGCCACTGCTCCTATTCTAGACAGGCTGACAGTTACTTGATATGGTGGTTGAAATTAGTATCCTCCCTCCCTATCTCTGACTATTACCCAAACCTTGAAAGAGAAGAAAGGGCTCAGCGAAAGAAAACCATCCAGGCTATTGTTTGTTAGGTACTGTATACCATCACTCTGCTTTCAAAGCATGTATCCTTGAAGCTCCTTCTGAAGCAAAGTTTATAGTTGATGAAATGCACTGTACAAAGAAAGAATGTCCCTTACAAACATTCCTTCATGTTTTCCTTCAGGTGAGTGTGTATTCTCATTGCATTCAATGTAAAAGCATTGTAAGTTAACCAATATATTCACTGGTTGGAATGCTTTCGATTCCAGTCGCTTACATTTTGTATGTCTATGAATTAGTCTTTGTGTGTGTGTATGTCTTTGTTTGTGGAACAGCCAGTGCCAGTTCCAGGGTCAGTGTGAGTTTATGCAGGGTTGTTCTGATGTCTGGAAAAGATAAGTAAATCTTGTGTTAGTACTGCACCAATGGGTGCCTTCGGAAGTGCCTTCGGAAAGTATTCAGACCCCATGACTTTTTCCACATTTTGTTACGTTACAGCCTTATTCTAAAATTTATTAAATTGTTTTATTTCCCTCATCAATCTTCACACAATACCCCATAATGACAAAGCAAAAACCGTTTTTAGAAATGTTTGCTAATTTATAACAATAAAATAAAACTGAAATATCACATTTACATACAGTACCAGTCAGAAGTTTGGACACACCTACTCATTCAAGGGTTTTTCTTTATTTTTGTTACTATTTTCTACATTGTTGAATAATAGTGAAGACATCAAAACTATGAAATAACACACATGGAATCATGTAGTAACCAAAAAAGTGTTAAACAAATCAATATATATTTTATATTTGAGATTCTTCAAATAGCCACCCTTTGCCTTGATAACAGCTTTGCACAATCTTGGCATTCTCTCAACCAGCTTCACCTGGAATGCTTTTCCAAAAGTGTTGAAGGAGTTTCACTCTGCCGTCCGACTCATCCAAAACCATCTCAATTTGGTTGAGGTTGGGGGATTGTGGAGGTCAGGTCATCTGATGCAGCACTCCATCACTCTCCTTCTTGGTAAAATAGCCCTTACACAGCCTGGAGGTGTTTTGGGTCATTGTCCTGTTGAAAAACAAATGATAGTCCCACTAAGACCAAATCAGATGAGATGGCATATCGCTGCAGAATGCTGTGGTAGCCATGCTGGTTAAGTGTGCCTTGAATTCTAAATAAATCACAGACAGTGTCACCAGCAAAGCACCCCCACACCATCATACCTCCTCCTCCATGCTTTACGGATGTAACTACACATACAGAGATCATCGGTTCACCCACACCACGTCTTACAAAGACACAGCGGTTGGAAGCAAAACTCTCAAATTTGGACTCCAAACTAAAGGACAAATTTCCACCGGTCTAATGTCCATTGCTCATGTTTCTTGACCCAAGCAGGTGTCCTTTAGTAGTGGTTTCTTTGTAGCAATTCGACCATGAAGGCCTGATTCACACAGTCCCCTCTGAACAGTTGATGTTGAGATGTGTCTGTTACTTGAACTCTGTGAAGTATTTATTTGGACTGCAGTTTCTGAGGCTGGTAACTCTAATGAACTTATCCTCTGCAGCAGAGGTAACTCTGGGTCTTCCATTCCTGTGGCGGTCCACATGAGAGCCAGTTTCATCATAGCGCTTGATGGTTTTTGCGACTGCACTTGAAGAAACGTTCAAAGTTCTTGAAATGTTCCGTATTGACTGACCT